CAGTCAGGTTGGCTGATGTTGTGTGATGGAAAAACTCTGCTTGAATTTTGATAACTGCTGTTTAACGCCGCAGTGCGTGTTCCACATTGAACGTGTGAGTGCTGTAAGGCTACGAAACAAAATGCCATTGAGATGAGAGGGTAAGAGTGGCCTCGGTAGCACAGCGGACAAGGTGACCGTCCGATCGGCGGAAGATATCGGTTCGAGCCCCGTCCAGGTCCGACTTTTGCCCATAACCCAGCATTCCTGTGAAAACTATGCTTGAAGTTTTCCTTCGGTACAGAAGGAAGTGTTCGGCCCGACCCCATCAACCATGAAGGATATGGAGTCCTGTCACTTCCGCCAAAAAGTCGAAGACCGGATTGGCTGGACATTTGGTGCCATTTTTTGAAAACCGCTGACCAGAGCGGTCAGCTAGTATATCCAGCCAGACGTCAGAATGCGAAAGACACGGTCATACCTCCCCTGAAAGCTTCACACGAAAGGAGTGAGTGGTTTCTTGGTCTTCAAGAAGTCAACTGGAGTGCTTCTGCTCGCAAGAGAAGCCAGCGAAGAATTTCTGGCGCCCCGTCGAAGAATTGAAAATTAATGAACCTACAAGTCTTGCAGGTTATCCTTGTTTCCTTTTTAGGTATGGCATGTTCGGAATGAAGCCTAACCCACCGGCTAGCGATATTCTCCAGTACACTGGTGTGCTACTTGTTATACTTGGGTGAGCATCGTTTACTAATTAGCCTGATGTGTCAGGTGGTCCCTAAAAAGAGAGGCGCCCTTGACGGTCTATGAGGGTTGAACACCGCCAAGTTCAACAATGTCCACGGAATCAGGGCACATCATGGGTTAGAGATTTTGGTTGAGTGCACGCGCCTCCCCCCCCCCCTTAACGGGGCTCGGTACAACCTCCTTTTTACGATTTATTGTTTTTTGCCTTTTTAATTGCATTAAAAAGGTGAGCTCATCTTAGCTCATCCGCCTTTGGTTATAGGGACGGGCGCATTAATGAGGGGAGCAAATGGTGCAGAGCTCCCGCTCATTAGGTTATCACAGGATGCATCTTCACAAAGTTATCAAAACAGTTTGTATCGCAGGGTTCGTAACCAAATGCTCTCTGCTAGAAAACATCTTCCAATGCTTTTCTAAAAATATACAGTATGAGGTCTTAAAAGCACGGTAGTTTGATACTCGGTTTGAAATGGTAGCAGGGTGCTATATAACGGGAAAATGGCGAAAAAACGAAGTGAAACGGTCAAAAACCTGCGAAGAAAAGCCTTCGTTCTTCACGACTCAGAAGCAATTTCGGACGAGTTTCCTGTAGAGATCGCGCCAATAATCACTGCGGTAGATACGCCTGCACGTACCCTCGAAATCCCTGAGATGGGGTAGGCGTGGCTGCATATTTCAACCTAACGTGGTGGTGGCTGTGCCTTTGGTGAGATATTTTCGTTTTGACTCACTTGTGGTCATACTTTTCGTAATCTGAAATAGCCAACGAGTAACCTGTTCTATGCCATGCTTAAATGCCACGCCCAATCTGTCTCAGGGATAAGGAGTGTATGTGCCCAATTATCCATGCAACACCGCGGCCGCTTCATATCAATCCCTTCGCTTCATATTTTACTTCGCAAATGAAGCAATACGAGCATCAGGTACGGTCGTCCATTTGTGGGCGGGCGGGCGCGTGGGCGTCCGGGTCGATATGTTACAGCACGGTCTTATTAAGGTACATTTCTTGGGAAAGGCGCTGCTTAGCGCCTGCTCAGGGGCGCGGAATTCCCTTGTGCCCGTATTAATCTTACTCGTCCCAGGGATTTATCGTTCCAACTTAATGAATTAAGCTCAGATTTGGATCACTACCAATCCGCTTTTCAGAGGAGTTGCCTTTTCCATGGTTCAAGTGGATCGAAGTATCCCAGAAACGCAGAGGATGAGAGCTGGAAAATCAAAGGAGGAGGGAACAGCTTCGGATGACCGGAAGGAAACAAGAGGATCTTCTGAGGTACGAATGGGAGAATTTTTTTGCAGCTGCACCAGTTTTTATGTGGGGACAAGATGGTGGAAAGTACGCGGTTACAGTCTTGTTCGCTGCGAATGCTGGGGCGTGTCAAGAGGGATGGACTTGGCGCGCCGCTAACTTCTTAACCATTTGCTGAAGAGAGTAATTGGCGACAACCGTGGAAAACGACTGACACCAGCGATATGATACAGTCTCCTCCCATACTTAAAAAACATGCTGGCGTCGCGCTGAACGCAGCCCCACCCCTGACACGCCCCAGCGTCTGCACAAAACCGGGCCAAAGCCATGAAACGAAAACGATGAATTTAAACACTTCAGATGAACAGTGACAAAAGCAGCACATCAAGCAGTGCGGAGCAAATGACAAATCAATCCACTGCGACTCAGTCGTCGCAGCAATCTACGGCAACTTCAGCTAGCCAGAGAATACCCATTAGTCGGGTGGAAAAAGCCGTGTAAGCGTGTTTATTGAATGGTAATATCATTGCTGATACTGCAGAAAGATTGATCAGGTATCACAGATTCGTCATGGGACGCGCTCTAGAGCCATTTCCCGACAAGACTGTATCATTTCGTTTCTATCGCTCTTTGTCCATCAGCTATTGTTACTCACTCGCTTCTACAGTTGGTGGAGAAAGGGTTATCTTCGCTACAGGCCCTACAAATTGACCTAGCGTCGCTGTGATATAAGAACCTTGGACCTTTTTTGTTACGCGGGGATGTACGCTCGCGCTCCCCCAGTCACTATCGTCACGATAACCCAAGCGGTGTCAGGAGGAGCAGAATGAGCGCGCCTTCCGGCTGCCTTTTCCACCAATAGTGATCGGCTAGTATCGCTTCAGGGAAGAAAACAGCCACTGATAGAAATGAAGCAGGTGGCCACTTTCCATGCCTCCCGACAACAACCCGACTAATTGTGCCGATATCAACCGTAGCTCTGTGAGATAGGGTCCATTTCGTGTTCCTGCTTGATATTGACATTACACAGCTTCATGGTCAAGTAATTTGGCCCCGAGATGCGGAAGAGACCAGAAGGGACGGCAGAGCGATTAGAGATCCCGTCGGCGGCACCGATATACCCAACGAAAAATGCCAGCTACATTTTTTCGTTCATATTCTGCGATACTTTGATGGGCGGGGACTCATTACCATCTGTCTTTTCCAGTGAGGGGATTCTCTTGTCAATAACGACGAGAAGGGGAGACGCCAAATATGAAGGCGGTGGTTCAGAGTCTCCGCCCACTAGTTATCGCAGACTGTGTTTTTGATGGCGTAACTTTGCAAATAGATTTTGTTTTCAGTTGCATAGGCGTGGCAATCATGGCCGGTGTTTTCTATGGTTTAAACTTCGTGCCAGTGATCTACATGGTTGATAATCCCCAGCGATATCCAGGCTACCCTGTAGACGGTCTCTCCTACGTGTTTTCACACTTCTTCGGAATTTTTCTCAGCGCCACAGCAATATTCCTCGGCTATACACTGTTCAAGTGAGTTCGTAGCAGTTATTTTTGATAGCCACGAGAAGCTACTATTTTGGCGCCAGGGCAATTGAGGGCAGGGCTCACCATCGTCGTAGAACCCAAGAAAATCTCATTTGGCCGTCAGGGACTGACGCGGCAGAATTGGTCGTGAGCCACTTACTCGCTTACTTTAGTAGTCTGCGCTCTCGACACCTGGGAGGGAGGGGGGCTGGAGTAAAGCCTCTGTCTCACTGAGAAGACGAAAACAAGAGTGAGCTTGATTGCATCACTGCTCTGACCTTCGCCCTCATCAAAACTCACGCCATCTTTTGTTCCTCTTCATTGATTTTTCAGCAACTTTCAGGAAAGGCGAGCCTTTTATGACTTCTCAGATGGTATTGCCATCATTTCTGGCTGGACTACTTTGGGCAACAGCTCAAACAGCATTTTTTATTGCCAATCAGCACTTATCACAAGCCATATCGTTCCCCATCATTACTGGACTTCCAGGATGCGTGGCATCGTTGTGGGGTGTACTGTACTTCAAAGAAGTCAAGGTTAGGCATTTCTACGTCTAGAAGAAAGCTGCAAGAGGTACTACCCAAGCGCTAGATTAGTTGGGCAAGGAGCAGGGCAGTCCTGACCGAAAGACCAGACCACCCCTTTTCTTTGTTTGTCTGCGTCCCCTCTACGAGATAGTGTCCGGAAAACGTCTCAAGAGGGATTCTGGTTCTAGGATTCCGAATTCTGGTTGTAATACGAGAAAAAGAAGGACTCACATGGCGAAATGACCTCAGGCTTTTCGCCATTCACCCACCGAGCGGTAACGGTAATGTAGGATGTGCTACTAGGGAATCAGATGTTACTTTAGATTTAACGCCACTTTCTAACTTCACAATTTTTAGGGCAAAAGAAATCTGCTCTGTTTCGCTGTGGCTTTGTCGCTGGCCGTGTCTGGTGCTGTTTTGGTGGGTCTATCGAAAGAAGTTCATCTCTAGTCCGCCCATTCCCCTGCGGGATCGTCCCAAAGTAACTAAATGGTCGAGTTGAATCGTCTTAGGATTTGTTCCCGAAATTCTCCGCGTAAGAGAATTTTTAGGTAAAACCAACGATAAAACAATCATAATGTTATTGATATTTATCGTTTAAATTTGTTATGTATTGAAATTCTCACAGTAGTACGTGTTATGTGACGTAGAGGGGTCACGGGTTAATTGTTAATCTATTTTTTTGAATTATTTCTGTTGAAGAAGTCACGGATTCTGTGTTGTACACCTCAGTATTGCAATCCCAGTCGAGATCTTGACATTGCTTTCTTTGTTTGCCCTCCGGAACACATGTATTGAATTGGAAGCTGTGCAAAAATCGATTATCGATTTGTAGAAGGGTGCCAATATTGATTTGTAGATGTTTGTTGATCCGTCGTAGAGAGAAGTGATGTATTAATGGATGTGAAGTGAAATAAACATTCCACTTCGAACTCTCGAATCACCAAGGCTTGCGAATTGCGCCACGCTCTTGTGTTCTACTATGAAGAGCAGAGATGTTTGAGAGCGAACTCGCTTACCGTTAGAAACCAATTTTGTAGGCAAAATCTAGTGTGATGCGGGAGTACACAATGCGGGCAGAGTGTGGAGGCGGCACGTGGGCACCTGGGTATCGCTGCCCTCCAGCCCCGTTCCCGTCCACTTTTGACTGGAAAAAGTGGCACGCTCCTGCAGCTGTGGACCCATGCCCTCTCATGCGGCAAGTACTAGGATTCGCGAAGGTAAGTGTGCTGTTTGCTTCGAAGGTGATGAACTTTAACGTGAAACCTTATTAGCGTAAAGGTATATGTGCTGTACCTAGAAAGCTCACGCTGAATTCTGTTCTGATTTCGTTGAAGGCCGAGCGTCTACCACGGTTCAGCACTTCCTCTTGTGATCTCAGTCTGATCACATGTTTTAATGCGGCGCAGTTTGGCGGCGGGGAGGGGGCATTTTGCCACCTTTGCTACTTCCCTTCGACGTGTCGGGCCATCTAGAGAGCTCTTTCATGAATCTACAAGAGTTGACAGGTTTTTACCATGGTGGATTGGCGAGTTTGCTCCATCTTCACAAGAGTTCACAGGTCTCACCCCCCCCCCTTTCGTCGCCCCGTAGCGCCTTTGGGGCTAATTTTTCACGATTTCAGGCTATGTGGAACGTTCTGCTCCCCCACTTGAAAATCACAAGATGTAAGTCATGCCATTTTTCAGCATTTCCATATGAGAGAGAGTTCTCAAGATTAAAAAGTGATGTCACGTTTCTACTGTGAATGTTTCAATGTGGCATGTCATCGCCTGATACCTCGCTTATTGCCCTATAAATTTCCCGAGAACCGAAGCGTTCTGCAGCATTTTCCCCTGGTTCGTCTCTCATTCTTGGAAAAGCCGTCTAACTATCATTATAGGCTCAGTGTTTCTTTACTATGCCGTACAGGTTTTTATGGTGGAAGTGTTTATTTTGCCTGACGTTTCGACGTATCGTCGTTATCAAAGGCCTGAAAGCATATCGAAACTCATGAAAGCTATCGATCCTGTTCAACCTAAACCCGTTCTTAACTAGTTGCAACCCAGACCAAGAAACTACCAACGAAAGGGAACTCAAACTTCAGGTTACCTTTCCACTCCCACCAGCACCAACGATCTGCTCGATTTCGACACAATGGAGCAAGTGAGACTGACCGAGCACTGCTACAGGATGATAGTATGCGTACGTGCAGTGCATCATGTTCTCACTGTTAAAGCTCACACAGT